TCCTGCCCGGCGCTCGCTCTTCGCGTTTGGAAAACGTGGTGGGAATTCTACATGGCGAGCGTCTCTGGGCTCGGTGTCGGATAGACCGCTTGGTTGGGCCAAAACGCCCTTTCTCCGCTGGGGAGAAAGCTGTTACAAAACCCTGGACATAATATGAGGCATTTGGCAGCTTTAAAGCTGTGAAACAAATTTCTTAAAGAAATACGTGAGAGTATTTTCCTCACTTCAGTAAACGCAAGAGTGACAGCGATGGGTAGATCAGTTTCTAAATCAGATTGCATTTATAACTTGCATTGCAATGTCTGGTGATAGCTCAATAGCTCACTAGTTGTTTAAACTGGAAAGTGTGTAAAGAAACCACTGTGGCTGTCTTAGCATCACATGTTGTGTGTTGACATGCACAGTAGCAATCATAGAATGGTTTGGGTTGGAAAGGACCTTAAGATCATCTAGTTCCACCCCACTGCCATGGGCGGGACACCTCACACTACACCATGTCACTCTGTCCAACCTGGCCTTGAACACTACCAGGGATGGGGCAGCCACAGCTCCTCTGGGCAACCTGTGCCAGGGCCTCAGCACCCTCACAGGGAAGAATTTCTTCCTAATGTCTAATCTAAATCTCCCCTCTTTCAGTTTAAAGCCAATTTCTTGTCACTACATGCCGTTGTAAAAAGTCTCTCTCCAACTTTCTCATAGACATCGTTTAGGTAACCATCAGTATAATGCTGTATTTTACATCACTGTAGAAGCTGAGTAAATAATAGTTTCGTATGTACTCACAAAAGACTCTTCAGCTGCACTGATCTTGCCATAAGACACTAGTTTGTGGTTTAGTTTTGCTTGTTCTGCGTGAGGCATATTGAAACTATTAATGCTACTGCCTCAAAAATCAGGGATTGTTTTTCATTGTGTCTCCACAGGCTTCTTACCTCCTATAACTCCTCCAGAAAAATTCTTTCTTTCTCAGCTGATGTTGGCCCCCCCTAGAGAGCTGTTCAAGAAGACCCCTCGGCAGATTGCTTCAATGGATGTGGGGAACATGGCCCAGTCAGTGGATATAAGTGGGCTTCAGCTGGCCTTAGCAGGTAAGGAGGATTTGTAGCTGTGCTTCACTTGAGAATGGAAATGCTACTTCTCATGTGGCTGTGAGTTACCTGAGAAACAAACACTCTTGTCTATCCTAAATATGAAAAAGGCTCAACTATGCTTTAGGGTCTGCAAGCCTGTGTTCAAGAACATAGAGAAACTTCAAGTAGAGATCATGCCTTAACTGTTTTATCCTACTTCTCAAGCAGCTTTTTAAGCATGTGTGTCACTGCCTTAAATGCTTTGTAAGTATAGGAAGCCTTTCATCTAAAGTTTTGTGGGCGGGGATTTTGTGTGGCTTTTCATTTTTATCCCTTTTCACTCTTTGCAGTATTTCTAGTATGAGAGAACAAGCATAACTGTCATGCTGTCATGTACCAGTACTTCAGCTGTACCTGGCAAATTGGCTATTACAATTACATCTTCAGTTCTATAAAACAAAATCAGATCTTACAGCGTTAGCTTAAGAGTGCAAAGGTGGTCCCCTTTCACTGCACTGAAAAGAAAAGCAATGTGATGCTTATCCTTTGACAGGAGAAAAGGAGCAGGAACATGATTGTTGTGATCACATTAACTGGTGAGCCACATCTGGAGCTAAAACTGAAATAGAAAGTATTATTGGGAACAAGGAGCCAGTTTGAACACCAAAAACACTGGGGTTTTTTCCTAAGTACATGCAAATGGACCTTCTTGCTTGAAAACTGACCATCCTACTTCTGTATCTGTACGATGTGGTTTATTGCTCCAAGGTCAGGAGCTAACCAGGCTTTCTCCATCCTGCAGTTGTATCTTAGCATTGACACTTTTTCTGTAGAATCTGACAGTGACAGTGCTGTGATGTAGAAATGTGTACAAATGTCCCCTGGTGTCCTCCTTAGCTACTGTTTCCATACTGGGACATCTTTTGAAAAGTTAGATTGAATACCCTAACACACCGCCACAGGTGAGACAAACCCTTCTGGTTCCAATTCTGTTCATCCTGTTCATGTTTTCTGGAATACTTTGGTGAATTCAGATTTTGTCAAACTTCAGGTAACTTGTCATTTTTAGCATAAGGAATACGTGATGCCTTAAAGAAGCCTGGAGTTTTTTTAATTTGTTACTTGTTTTCCCTTTGGTGCTGTGTTTGTCTTCTGAACAGTTTGTTCTCATCAAAAATGAAACGTGTAAAGAAGCTGAAAACTGTAGTTGTATGGATGGGTACTCTAAGCCACGCATTTCGGTATGTCCTTTTTTGAAATAGAAGATACTGATGGCTTAAAATCCAGTACAAAGCCATTAATGGTGCTTTGCAAAATTAAGCCCTGTAAGATATGCTTGTATTATTACTTATATAATCCAGTAAACATGCACCATTAATTGCTTACGAGCAGTTGTAGGAGTTATGTAACAGAACACTTGGTGGGCCTTCAAAATGTTGGTCCCTGGGACAAATTCAGGGCTCTGTAGAACAGGACGGTTTTAGAATATACCTGCAAAATCAACCTCAGTAATTTATAAGGCATTATTTATTTTTCAATCAATGTATCTATCTCAATCCTTTTTTTGTAAAGGGAGGAAAAAAATACTTGGCTTTCTTCTGAGCTTGAACTTTGATGTATATAACTAAGGGCTCACTCAGGCTTCTAAAATCGGTGAATTGAAGGACTGTATGTTATACTTCTATATTTCTAATAAAGCATCATTAATCACTTGAGCTTATGAGGATACAAACAAATCAGTGACCAACTGATGGATTTAAGTTCTAGACTATAAATGAAAAGACCGAAAAAAGACACCCAATATTCCCCCTTCCCTTCCCTGTGGAACTTCATTTTTAAATCAACCCTTCTGTTCAGTAGCTAAATGAAGGTGCTTGAAACAGTTTATAAAGTAGAAGATGTTTTATAAAACAGCTCATTTGGACTTTGATTTTAAAATTGTTTTTTTGAAAATAACTGAAAAGTATGCTACTTGTTGCCTTTAAAAGAAAACTATACCTTGTTGTACTGAAATCATTGCATAAAGTAGGACAGAAAGCCAAAAAATAAATTGGCAATGGGTGGTGTTTTGTTTTGATGAATGCAGTTTCAGCATCTCTCATGGTTTTGGTTGGAGTCATATGAAATAGCTCAAATGCATAAGGAGCTGGGAAGGGTAGTGTGGTTGCATGAAAAGGAACAAGCACACTTTGATTAGAAGTGATAGGGACGGAGGAGCTTTTTTGACAAAACAATAGAAAACAGGAGCTCTCAAAATAGTACAGAGAATATAGAAGGTCAGCCATTAATTCTTTAGATACAGAAGGGTGATAGATTGTGACAGAACACCACCTAAATACCTGACAATGCGAGTATTGAGCCCCATAGTTTCTTTTTGGCCAATTTCTTCAAGTCTTTAGCTGTATATACTAAGCTAATATTATTTTGATGTAACTTGCTTACATTCTGTAATTTGGCCTTTAAAAGGACACTTTCAGCTCGTCTCAGCTTTGCTTTAAAGATGATATATGTAGAATCATACAACAGTTAAATTCCATTTTTCCCACACAAGCATTTACTGTAGCTTGACAGTGAACACAAAAGTAGCTTACGCAATGCCACTGAAATGCATTAGAGAACTCTGAATAGCTGACTTCAGGTCTAGTATGACCAGTTACAGAGTCTGAAAATGTATCTGTGTAGATATTTCTATTCCCCTCCTTGAGGAGAAGTGATTGCAAAACTAGATATAGCATGTGAACTGAATTCAGGAGTACCATGTGAGCCTACTAATGTGCTTTTAGATGCGGGTTACATCAGATAGTTACCTTTTCTAAAGCCAAGACTTTATTTCAGATTGATTTCTTCTTTATCTTTGCTGCATACCTCTGTCCTTCGTCAGCTGGCACTCTGAGTACTAGCTGCCTGACACAGTACTAAATTTCTTGTGGATCTTATCTGTGTTTTTTTTAAGCTAGCAGTTTGTTTCTCACTACTCTTAGTATTCCAGGCATTTCTGTTTCAATTTTACGCTTTAATATTATGGACGGGCTTTCTTTCAGAACGTCAGTCTGAGCTGCCAACACAGAGCAAAGCCAGCTTCCCCAGCATCCTCAGCGATCCTGACCCAGATTCTTCCAACTCCGGTTTTGACAGTTCTGTTGCCTCCCAGATCACAGAAGCCTTAGTGAGTGGACCAAAACCTCCTATAGAAAGTATGTGTATTTTCACATCTTTGGTTCTGTAACTCATAGAATCATAGAATGGTTTGGGTTGGAAAGGACCTTAAGATCATCTAGTTCCAACCCCCCTGCCATGGGCAGGGACACCTCCTGCTAGACCATGTCACCCAAGTCTCTGTCCAACCTACCCCTGAACATTGCCAGGGATGGGGCAGCCACAGCTTCTCTGGGCAACCCATTTCAGTGCCTTATCACCCTCACTGTAAAGAACTTCTTCCTTATATCTAACCTGAACTTCCCCTGTTTCAGTTTAAACCCATTACCCGTTGTCCTGCCACTCCAGTCCCTGTTAAAGAGTCCTTCCCCAGCAGCCTTACAGGCCTCCTTCAGATACTGGAAGGCTGCTAGGAGGTCTCCACGCAGCCTTCTCTCCTCCAAGCTGAACAGCCCCAAATTTCTTAGCCTGTCATGACATGCTATGTTACTATACTTCTCCAAATGAAATCTAATCAAATTCAGAAGTATGTTCAGGGCATGAACTGGGAATTCATCTGAATAAAACAGTGCAAAACTGTGTCAGGGTAGCTCCAGATCAGACTCCGTAGTGTTCACATTTCCAGACTTTTAAAAACCAGGAGCTTGTCTTCAAGCTGTTACTTGTGTCATCTGTTGGCTAAAACACTGGGTCTCATGCCCCTCAGATCTTAGTGCCCTAACACTAAGCTTTGCATTGACTGTTAACACCTTCCAAGATCCAGTTACTGTGGAAAGACCATAAAAACAGTAACTTAGTGATCTGAATCAAAAGGAAAAACAGGCCAATCACTAAAAATAACAAATAAATGTTTAGCTGGGAGGCAAATAACATTGTAATGCTCTTACAATGGCTTAAAGAAATGGCGGCTTTGGGGGTCTCCTTTTTGTGCTGATGTAAAACTGAATACCTGAAGCTTAAAAACCATTTCACATTGTTGCCGTTTTAGGTCACTTTCGCCCAGAGTTTATTCGACCACCACCTCCGCTCCATATATGTGAGGATGAATTGGCATGGTTAAATCCAATAGAGCCAGACCACACAATTCAGTGGGATAAGTCAATGTGTGTTAAGAACAGCACTGGAGTTGAGATAAAAAGAATTATGGCAAAAGCTTTTAAAAGCCCCTTGACTTCCCCACAGCAGACACAGGTAAGTATCATGCACTCTTCTGTCAAAAAGGATTTTCTAACAAGCCATCTATTAACTCACGTATTTTAGAAAACTTTAATCACTTTAATTGAACTGTGTTTCGATTCAGGAAGCTCCAAGGACTTTCAGATTGTAAAAACCCAAGAGTTTTGACTTGGGCTTGTATGAGTAAGGAAGAAATCTTTAAACTTTGTAGCACTGACTCGACTTAGTTACAGTTGATCAGTAAGCGACATCAGTATTATTCTGCATGGAAATAATCTTCCTATAACAAAGTTGTTTATGCTTCTGTGGACGCTTTTGATAAATAATTATTTCAGAAATGCCAACACAAAATTTATTTTCTTAAATTTGATAGTGTTACCCCTGATTTCAGTGGACTTTTTTGATAGTCAGTATGCTAGCACTACAAAATACTGTTTACTTGCAGAACTTTATCTGACAACAGTGAAATTGAAACACTTTCTGCTGGACAGGAAACTGAAGACAACTGAAAATTTGTATGGGTTTTTTCTTCCCTTCCTTGCCACCCACTGATGAAAGACTACTAAATCCTTTATTAAAGGTTTTATGGGCACAGTTGCCTTTCCATAGAAATTTTAAAAACATACTTCTAGTGTCTTTCAGTAGAGATGCCTGAATCTAAAGGGTTACCATTCTCCTGTAGCTCAGATGTATTATAGCAGTTTCTTCAAGCAGTAACGTGGATAGTTAATAAAAACTGATTTTTCTTTTCTTTCTCTTTCTTTTGTTCTTTACAGCTCCTTGGAGAACTGGAAAAGGACCCCAAGCTTGTTTACCATATTGGTCTCACTCCTGCCAAATTGCCCGACCTGGTTGAAAACAATCCTTTAGTAGCTATAGAAATGTTGCTGAAATTGATGCAGTCTAGTCAGATAACAGAGTATTTTTCTGTCTTGGTCAATATGGACATGTCCTTACATTCAATGGAAGTTGTAAATCGGTGAGTACTATCTCCAGTAGAAGGTTTCCTTAAGTATGTAAAAGAAATAACCATGAACAGTAGTTAAGTGCTTGTGAGGCTGGCCACAGGGCTGAATTTGGATATGTTCCAAAGACTACAGTAAATAATAGAATTGAAAAAATGACTAGTTAGATTACAGTGAAGGAAAAATAGTATCAAACTGTCATTCCCTTTTAATGTCTCTATGCTGTTGGTGGTGTTTAGTTTTTTTAATACTATTTTAATAGTAAGACTTAGTGTGCTCTGATCAGTCCTGCAGAGGAGGAAAGTGCTGTGGATTTATTGCTTTCTATGACTATTGGGCTGTCTGTTTTTTTGATAAATGCTTTACGTGCTTTTCATACAGTTCCTTACTGGTGGTGCCTGTAGTTAAAGAAAAAAAAACCCTTATTTTACTCTAGGCTAAGTTTGCAAAGTTAGCTGTGGGTTGGTAGTAAAGAATTGAACCTCTCGGACATCTGCAGTGCTAAGCTCAGAGAAAGCTGCCAGTTTTTTAGTTCCTTTTTACAGCAGTGCTATTTTAAAATACTGCTGTCATGTTAACAGCTTCCTATTTAGCAGTAGCAAAACTGCAACTTGACAGGGAAAAAAACCCACAATTTCCCAGCAGAAAGATGTGATGGTGGAGGCATAAATATTACATTTTAATTATTTGTAATTTATATAATTATTAAATATTATGGGTTCAAACTTAAACAGGGGAAGCTTAGATGAGATATAAGGAAGAAGTTCTTCACTGTGCAGGTGGTGAGGCACTGGAATGGGTTGCCCAAGGAAGTTGTGCATGCTCCATGAAGTGTTCAAGGCCAGATTGGATGGGGTTGGAGCAACCTGGTCTAGTAGAAGGTGTCCCTGCCCATGGCAGGGGGGTTGGAACTGGGTAATCTTAAGGTCCTTTCCAACCCTAACTATTCTATGATTATGTTTTGGTTGATTAAAATAAAAATATATATTTATTTATAACATACCGTATTTTACCATATTAAGTATGGTAAAAAGCACATTTCTTGCACAGGTGCTATGCCAGTTAATCTTTCAGTCCCTGCTCCAAGTATGGAGAGGTTTATTCAAAAATACCACTCTGTTACTCTTAATACTATCAAAGCGTTTCTACTTTGAAAAGAATGGGGAAATACATATTGTGTTGTGGATAACTTTAACTGGAGTTGATAATTACTAGAAAATCATTCTATCAAACTGATAACGTCCAGCTCAAAACAGTGTTTAAAATGGTTGTCACTTACGGGAGTCTCTCACTGGAATCTGTAATATCTAAACTTCCATTCAGACATCAAGTTCCTGGTTAATAGATAAATTTCACTAGCAAGTTCATACGCTATGTCCTAGGAAGGTGCAAATTTTGTTACTGACTCTACACATTCAGCGTGCTGTGGGGAATCCTCCACAACAAGTTAATGCCATGCAGCTTATCTGTTTAAACAAACTTGCATTCTTGATGCAGCTTAAGTGACAAAAGGTGCTGTTGTTGAACAGCCATCCTGCTTTATGTTCCTGCCCTGTCTTCATTGAGAATAACTTTTACATGTAGAGACAACCCATTTTCTTAACAGAATGCTAGTCCCTTCAGAGGGAAAACTTCAGACAGCTGTTCTCCACAAACTACACTTATTTTTTCCATTTCTTGGCAATCATTGAATGTGAATTACTGAATCAGCCTTGCTCAGCAGTCTCTTTGCAGCGGAGTTGAATGGCACCTTGAATATCATTTGAGGAAAGAAACATTGCTGAAATAAATCCGTCCCCACTGGTGCAGACTGACAACAGTTACTGCCCTGAAGTTGGGCTATTGATGACAACATGTGGCAGTAGTGGCAAGAAAAGAGCTCTTATCCCTGTCCAGGATAGCTACACCACCAGTTGGGCATGCAGGTTTTCCAATGGTATAGATACCATAGGAACAACTTTTCTCAAACTACAAAATGTCTGTCAGTGCAAACAGGTAGACACTGATTTCAAGGGATATAAGACAAAAACTTGAAACTGAAATGTCTAAAACATGCAGTTTTCCCTGTTGTCCCCCTTTCGCTACTAGAGATAGGATTGGTTTAGAGCTGTTTTAAGTTCTGTTGTAACGTTATGGCAGATCTACATTTAGTGTATGGTTATCTTGAGAGCTGTGTTGCTTTTTCAATTAAGAAACAGTGTCGGCTCAAATACTTCAGTAGCTGGTATTGTTGTTATAGCTGGTATAGTTGTGCTTTGCTGCTAACCCTTAAAAACACACTAATACCATTCCTTGTTACAGTAGTTCTCCAGTTCTTCTGTAGTAAGATGCTTTTTATTGTGCATCATTAATCACTACTTAAGATTTCCATCTAGTCAGGATCTCTTATTGGAGCTGTGTAGATATTCATGTTGTTTCACTTCCTAGGGCTAAAATTTGGATCTGAAGGAACTAAGGAAGCTAATTTTTGGCCATAGTAAGGAAACAACTGGAATAATTCCTTTAAGGAAGGAGTTGAGCATTTAAATCCAGTTCTTGGAATTCAAATACAAATAAGCAACATTGTACTGCAGTGCTTACTGCAGAATAATTTTGGTACTCAAGACAAGTTGGGGGCTTCACTGTAAATTGGACACTGGCATCATTGACTCATTTGTGTAATACATAGCAAATGTTTGTAGGTGTGTCAGATATACTAGAAACCAATCAATCTAACTTCGCTTCTATATTGTGTTAGAGTTTTAAAAAAGGTTTGGACTCTTAATGAAGAAATGTGTTTGTGGAAGCTGTCGGAAATCAACTCTCTATGACATGCCTGGGAATAAACTAATAGCACAGGTCTAACTCATCTGTTTTGCAGTGGAATCACTAGATTTATGGTTTCATAAACTACTGGATATTTTCTATTTGAACAGGCTTACGACTGCAGTTGATCTCCCGCCTGAATTTATTCATCTTTATATCTCCAATTGTATCTCCACCTGTGAACAGATTAAAGACAAATACATGCAGGTGAGTACTTTAATAATTTGGTTAGGAAAAATGGTCCTTGTTGTGTAATATGTGCTGAGATTTTACAAGGCTGATAGCATCAAGTTATTCTGTCTTGCTGCTTTTTTATTTCAAAGGCACCTTCTTTTTTTTTCCTAACACACTATGCAGTTCTTTTAAGAGATGTTTCTTCACCTCTTTACAAGAGTTGACAAAGGAATTACAGTTCCCTGTTTTTCAGTAGACATAATAGAGTTCTCCCTGGCAAATCTGCAGCTTATGTCACTTGGGTCCTTGCATGCTAAAGGTTTATGTCACTCAGTGTGCCTTTTCACCCTCAGTATTAGTTGTTTACCTTCTGCTCAGGTTTAAGCTTCAGGATTCTGTCTTTACAAGTGTGCCTACCACTTCCAGACCTTTGAGGTGATGTTACAAAACTTACATGGAAGTCTTGCCCTTCAGTCGTAACCTACAGCAGCTTTCAGATCTCCTCAAAGATGTAAACCCTTTTGCTTTCTGTCTTCCTAACACCATACTCTTTGCTTGTGAAGCCTGTCATACTTCCTCAGTATCAGCATGCAAGTTGTAGCCATTTCAAGGATCTCTACCCCTTGTGGAGGTTTCCACACCTTTGGCATACAAACTTGACTGCTTGCTGTGCGATGTACTTCCTTCTATCCTAAACTGCTCTGTTGGTTTCACCAGGTGCCTAGTAGAACTCTTTTTCTTGGATACCTCATTGGTGAAAAACAGTTCCAGGTTCAGTTTATCCAAAGCTTTGTGAATCTGGACCAAGTCCTGCCTCAGCTTTTTTCTCTCAATACTGAAGGGCTGCAACTTCTTTAGTCTCTTGCATCAAAGCAGCTGTTCCTTTCCCTTCAGTTTTTTTGGTGTATTTCTCTAGTGCCTTCTCTAGCTCTTACTATATCCTTAAGCTGCAAAGATACAAATTGCATGCAGTACGCACGATATGGCTGCAGCATGGTTTTAGATAGCAGGAAAAAAACTCTGTATCTTGTTCTCTGTACCCTTCCAGATGATGACTAACCATTTATTATCTTTTGGTGGCTGCTGATGCTTCGCTGCTTTGGGACTCAGACAGAAACGCATGGGTGGCTTGATCTGTGACCTGCTGAATAGCTGTGCTATTTGCATTTGGTAGCAGAACAGGAAAATAGCAGCAGACCTGAGCTGCAGCTGAGAGTATGTCCAGAGTGGGACACTGCTCAAAAGGGCTGCTGAGAGCATATAGCAGCTGTGCTTCAGGCACACAGGGGACAAAAAAGAACAGAGAGTCAAGGAGCACGTAGTGATCACCAAGTAGCATGCAAAGCTTGTGAGATCTAACATTTGTTAATACTGTGTTTGAGGCCCCACAGCAACCAAGGCACAAGATGTTGGAAAAGCATGGTATAAAACCACTCCTATTGGAAGTGAAAGAGGCCCAATCCTCAGAGGATGGGAGTCAGCCGCTATCTGGCGTTTGTACTTTTGTTCTGAGTTTCACATTCCCGAATTAATAAAAGTTACTCTTGCAACTAATTTGTGCTGCAGAGAAAACGTGATGCCTTTTGATTGCAGTGAGGAAATAACTTGTTTGGTTTCTGAATTCTCTTGGAATGGGTAGCAAGTTCTGCAGTAGTAAGCACAGTTCCTGTAAAAATTGTTGATGGCTATTTAGACACCAAAAATAAATCTAAAATGCTTTGGACATTTAATCTGTCAAGTCCCCTCAGTTCTGTCTGATGAACCTTGTTCATGTTGATTTTAGAGAAAGGTTTAGCTTCAGCTCTTTCTCCCAGTGTGCAGTATGAGACTGCTTTAACAATAAAGATCTGCTTTTGTCCTTGAGGAGGAGAAATGTGCTCCATATAAAGTGCAAGTTAATGACTGGATCTGTATATGACAAATCATAGGTGCCAGTTCCTAGATCTCCACTTCCCAATTCCCAGTGTACTCTTCCAGGTGTTGACCTAAGCAGTGCTTAGGAAAGAACACCACTTTGGGGGTCCGTTTTTCTCTGTATCAGGCTGGAAATGAACCATGAGCTGAGGCCTGTTCTTGGATTAGGTGTCCCTGGTACTGTCTTTCTTTCAAAGATGGAGCAAGAGAGTCATGTGTTAATTTAGCAATACAGCACTTCCCGTAAAGCAAGTTTGGGATCAGTTCTCTTGCTGTCACTTCCCCTCTGGAGTGCCTTAGTCAGGAGGTGACTGGGGAATTTTGAGATGGGAAGCTCATTGATTTTCCTCTATGGTATTACTGTAGAGAGTAAGACAAAGAAAGACCCTAGAGATGACATAATCTTAAGCTATGATCCCTTCTCTCTGACTTTATTCAGAGATTACTTAATAAAGAAATTAAGTGCAGAGGTAGATCTGGTGCTTCATTTGTGCATGAGATTAATCTTGATAAAGCTGCTGCATCCAGAAGCACAGTACTATGAAGTAGAGGAGTCCATTTTTAAATGCAGTAGTAGTATGGGACATGGACGAGTAGAGGCAGCACCTATAAAGCTTGGGAACGAGACTCCTGCTGA